TTTCAAAAAAAAAATAAAATTATATAGGGAGAGCCAAGCAGATATATAATCTAAATATATAGATTCAAATAATTAGAGAAATATATAGATATAGAAAGAAATAAATAGAGATAGGTAGAGATAGATAAATAGAGATAGACAGAAATAGAGATAGATAAAGAGAGAAATAGATAGAGAATTAAATCATAATTCATGAACCATCATGCCGGAATAAGTTTTTGCAATTATATATATAAGTATGATGCTCTCTCTAGGGTGTGACCAGCTGCTCCTAAACTTGCACAACGAATATATTACAGGCTGTCACCATATACGACTACTAGAATCTATGAATTAATATTTTGATTCACTTCATAGATTTATGTAATATTTTCATTGGTGCCAGTCCAGAACGCATCCCCAGAACCCCTTGCTGAAATTATTATATAAGAGAGCTATCTTGAATTATTAATATATAAATTCTTTTAGATTGTTTAGAGGACGACCTCATGAAATCCAGAAATAACAGCGTCCCCATATATATATTTTACCTAAATGAGATATCGATATTCAGAAAGCACGTCACTAGAACTCGCGAATCTAGAAATCTTCAGAAATTTTATTATCAATCGTATATCTTCCTAAAATTACCAAAATTCTGAAATTTCGAGATCACCAACATATTAGAGATTTTTGCATAGATTCTAATATTTTTTTTATTTATAATTTAGATTAGAAATAATTGAATAATTTATATAAATGAAATATAATCAAACTTAATATATAAGAATATATTAATTATATTCTAGATTTTCTATATTAAAAAATAAATATAATATATTATATTTATTTATAATTTTAAATTTTTTTCTCGAGAATTATGAATACAATAATTTAATAAATGTAAGACTTATTAATAGATATTATTATTCTCTTAATATAATATATTTATAATAAGAAAAACTTTTTTCTTAAAAGATATATTTTTTCTTCAAGGTATATGAATATTTGAATAGAAAAGATAGGTAGAAGGGTCAGATAAATAGCTGGCTAGATAAATAAATAGTAGGTAGATAGCCAGCCCCGCAAGTAGGAAGAGTAATCTATTGCGAGCAGGAAATCAGTTATATGGGGTTGATCCATTATTGGACTTGAAAGTTTCATTTAAAATGAAGCAGCAATAATATGCAAAATTTACGGCTATTCTGAAGCGTCACGTCCATCGATCGTTCGCAGGTTTTTTTATTTGACATTGAGCCTAGTCGAAAAATCGTGAAACAAGGTATTGAGCCTGTTAGCATCAACACGCTGTGAGAAACTAAACACTAACTAAGCTTAAATGCCACCAGGACCAGTTGCCACAGCTGCGGCTTCTGGTCCGGAGGGGATATATTGGTATGGCACCGCTCACAACGACTGTGAACTCACGAAGACTTCGCCATGTGATACAACACCAGGTTATTGTTGCGACCTTGGCAAGTCCACAGCAAACCTAAGAAAATCTTGTCGCAATCTGCCTGAGCGTGAGATATGACCTACGCACTCGGCCATCGGCAGGCTGCTCTGCTGAACGCCAGCAGGTTGTGAATAGCCTCCTGCATGGGCCGTCTTCGGGTGGAGGCGAGCTTGGGTATCAAGAGGCTCCTTGTGTAGGAGTGTCGTCTGGCTGCGTCTGCCCGGGATCGGCACCGGATCTTTCTTCGACAACAGGAACTGGCGACAATGGTTCCAACACCTTGCGACCATGACCACGACACGATACACGAGCTAGCCCAGATTTGATCCTCTCCGATGTCATGTTTCAGCTTCCCATCACCGAAATGCATAGATACCCAAGGCACCTTCTCCTTCTTCTTGCTGGAGGAGCCTTTGCTTCGAAGAGCGAAAGCCAACAGGGCATGCTTTGCTAGGGATTCACTAAGTCGCTGCTGCCAGTCTTGTCAGACTTGCCCACGATCCAAGAATGCTCCAGTGCCGCTGCTGCCTTGGTGCGCACGCAAGCTCCCCTGATTCCTCATTCAACGGGCACCGGCAACGCGAATCAAGAGGCACTGCTCACGTCTGTTTCTGAGGCATGCGGCAGTGAGTCTGTCGTCTTGGCTCTTGCATATAAGCCTGGGTTGGCAGCAATGGGAGATTTACCGCAAAACTCTGCAGCTCCAAAGTCCATCTGAAGTCAAGCGACTGTCTGAGAATGTTTCCTGAGCAATTCATATTATAGTTCGCGACAGTTCATGGCAATGCTTCGCTTCAGGAGAAACTCATTCACCCTAGATGCCTTGGCATGCCCTAGTCAAACCAGACACCGTCACCTGCTTGAATAGCCATGACTCGCAGGCGACTGGTCATTGAATCGAATGGCGGTCGCTGAAGATGAAGACTGCACCTTGGCAGCTAGCTTCTGCAGGAATTCAAGCCCGCAGGAAGTCCAAATGAATGTGTTCCACGTCAACTCCGCGAGCAACAGCGTAAGAACAGAGCTTTACCGTCTTCCTCATCGTCGCAGCAGAGTCCCGATCGGGACTGCTGAATGGCGTCTCCCTGCTGAGCATGAAGTACAAGACGACACCTGCAAAGGACATGCTAACCAAGAGCAGAACATGTGCAAAAAAACATTCCTTACCTGTACAACTTGCCTGCTCCAAAATTATCCACTTTGCAATCCTTGGCTCATGCGGGGCCACGGCATGCAGAACGATTCACGGCAATTGGCGGCCCAACGCAGACGGGTGTATCCGCTGCAAGGACTGTCTCTCCGCACGACTTCATGGTTCATGCTGCGAGGACGATTATCCAGGAAAGTCCTCTCTGCTTCAAGTGGCATATGGCGTACCCAAGCACACCTGATCTTGATGCTGCAAGACTGATGTGCGAGTTTGAACACGGACAGGCTCTGATTCTGCCGTCTGGACACTTCCGGTGCCACAAATCCGGCAGAACCACACCGGCGTGACATCTGCTGCTCGTCGGTGATCCGGCAGGCCAGCCTAAGTAACACAAAAGTTTTCTGCGGCCGAAAAGTCTGTTCTTAGTTGACACAGCCGGAGCTTCTAGCTCGGATCGTGACAGAATTTTTGTTCGCTTTGCGACCACTTCAGAGAACAGACACTTAGCTCCATCGTTTGGGCTGACCGGCCCATGTTGCCCTCGCTTCACGCTGTGCTTCCAATGTTTATCCTTTGTTCAGGCCCTCGCGCACCCCAACCGAGCCTTCCCTTTGCATTCAGACCCCCATCCATCCCATTTCTCCTCTGATGGCTCTGGCATATGTTGTGCGTCGAGTCCGACGGAGTGGTTTTTCGTCGATGTTCAATGCTTTGTTCATCCGGCCGGTTCGGAGCCAAGCAGATCAGAAGCCAAGGAGTCTGCCCGAAGTCAGCCAGCATCGGAACATCACCGGATTGCAGCAGAATATTCTCCGTCTTAACATCCCTGTGCACCTCGTGTGAAGAATCGTTGCTCAGCAAAAGATGCATCCACGCAATGGACCCTCCTCCCTTCGAGGTAAAGGCAATGTTGTGATCATGGATCCTTTTCAATCCTCGAAGGATTCCTCGGCAGAGCAGTTGCTCCCAAGACGTGACCATAGAACCCTGTCCAGCATGTTATGCACCATGAGTTTAACCCAGCTACCCTTGAACAATGGTCTGGCAGATGCTTCTGTCATCCCGCCCAAATGAAGCACCTGAGCCAAATCGAGTTTTGAACAGAACTATGGGATCCGCACCGGCTGTTTAGATCTGCCGCCTTGTACAGCAAGTCGCCACCCAATGCCAGGTCAAAAACACTGGAGAATCGAACTTGCTCCTCGGCGTCTTGATTTTAAGGGTCTAGCAAGTGGACAAGCATTGTGCGAGCTGTCCGTCTCCACTTTCCAGAAAATTCCACGGAAGCCAATGATGTGGTCACCCCGCAGCTCGGCGAGAGCAGCAACCTGGCAGCCACTGGGTGCCACCTAGCCTCTAGGGACTCTAGGGTTTAAGATATAGCTTTCATTTCAGAGGCAGCTTGGATGCTTAAGCAGATTCGCCAAACGCCGGTGATTTCACAGCAACCTGTCCCTGAGACCACCCGGATCGACAGCAGGTGTGGGACTGGCACCCCGGGTTGACTGCACCGGGTGAGGCTTATCCTGTCCGAGCGTGGGTCCGAGCCCGAGAGCAACGCACGAAGGCATGCTCCATACCAGAGCTTCAAACCAGTCAAACGTGGCCATTGGCTTGCAAAATCAAAGACGAAAAAGACCACAGACTAAAGCGTCAAGCGTGATCCCACATGAGCTCGTCTGAAGCTATCGAATCTCGAGCCTCTCGCTCAATGGACTCCAGGTCTGTGGTGTGATGCATCTGCTTCACCTACAAGTCCGTCGCACTTGCAAGTCGCAGCAGACAAAGACATGCTATGTCGCTCGCGCGATGCAGCCCAGGAGCTGCCACATCGTGGCCTGCCGCTGCCTCAAGTTGCAGAATTCTCCAGGGATGACGATGATGATGATACTGATGGTGATGATGGTGATGATGACGATGATGACGACGGTGATGATGATGATGAT